ACATGTCTGTAATATTTTGAGATGCAAGTTTAATATGAAAAGAAGAAAAATGTAACATGCTTTTTCATCAAAAGAATTTGATTAAAATCACAGTTGGTTAATAATCAAAAAGCTGACTTTGTTTGATATAGAATTTATCGTATTTGTACATTATAAAAAGCTGTACATTTAGGAAATACTGTATATATTTAAGGATGTTTCATCGGTAGATGGTTTCATGTGAAAATCAAACTGTCCTTGATCAATTCAACGCTGTTTAAATCATAACAGTCATACCTTAAGCAGAAAAAAGAAGAAGAAAAACATTTCTTTATACCATTCTATCTTAATCTATGTTCTTGCGCTGTATTATTAAATAGCAATTTTCCATACATCTAATCTCACATATCGTATTAATTAAATTTCATTGTAGAAATTTCGATGTTCCTCGATTTTCTTTTGATTGACAGTCTTTTGTTTTCTGAGTTGTCGTTTGTCGACGTGCTGTTGTTGTTCTGTGAATGTTTATGACATATAAAAACTAAATCGATTGGATGTGTACTAATTGGTATTTTAAGTCGTAGATATATTACATATGTTAGCCATTATTGGCTTTGAACTAGCTTTCGGTTACTGCAATTATACTCTCAGATCTTTCCTTTTTGTATTTAGTATTTTTGTTGATTGTTTTTTTTTTGTGTGCTTTGTATCGATCTGATGAGTGATGCTCTTTTCAAAAGATTTTTATATTTTGTTCTTATGTTCTTCTGTTACACAACTGTCCCAAGTTAGGGGAGGGTTGGACGCCTGCTAATATGTCAAACCCCGCCACATTCTGTATGTGCCTGTCCCAAGTCAGAAGCGTGTAAATCAGTGTTTTGTCGTTGGTTGCTGTAAATATCACATATTTTCTTCGTTTATTGTTTTGTACAGTTGGTTGTTGTATTGGTCTGTTGAACCACTGTCCCATTATAGGGAAAGGTTTGGGCGCCTCAAAACATGTTAAAAGTAACTTAAAACAAGCCAAATTCTGTATCTGCTGTCCCAAGTCAGGAGCCTGTAATTCAGTGGTTGTCGTTAACTTCTGTATATCACATTTGTTTTTGTTTTTATTTATTGTTTTGTACACTAATCAGGCCGTTAGTTTGCTCGTATGAATGGTTTTACATTTGTCATATCGAGGCCGTTTATAGCTTGCTATGCGGTATGGGTTGTGCTAAATGTTGAAGGCCGTACTATGATCTATATTTGATAACTTCTGTGTCATTTTGGTCTCTGGCGGAAAGCTGGAAATCATAACACATTTTCTTAGTTTTATATAAATTCTCCAGTTAGATATATAAAACTGATTACAGTTTACTTCGCGAAAAGTTTTTCATTTTTGTTTAAAGGATTTACACATAAAATGAGTGAAGACTTGTATTTACCAAATATAAATAAGAAGATGTGGTATGAAAAAACTATCCATCCAAGTCACAATGTGTAAAAAGTAAACAATTATAGGTCAAAGTACGGCCTTCAACACGGAGCCTCGGCTCACACCGAACAGCAAGGTATAAAGGGCCCGAAAATGACTAGCGTAATACAATTCAAACAGGAAAACCAACGGCCTAATCTATACAAAAACGAGAAACGAGAAACACTTATGAACCATCCCAGCAAACGACAACCACTGAACAACAGGCTCCTGACTTAGGATAGGTGCATACAAATGCAGCGGGTTTAAACGTTTTAACAGGCACCAACCTTCACCCTAACCTGAAGCAGCGATGTAACATTACAACATAAAAAGGACACACAATAAAATATCAATTGAAATGGCTTTACTCGATCAAAAAGACATACACAAAAACAAGTACATATACACTGAACGAATAAGTTTGATCTATGACACAATATAAATAAAAAAGATGTATCAATGTCAAAAAGACAACTTTAACCTAGGACAAAATGGCGTTAAACAAAGTTACGTACACAGATAAATTTAAATATTTTTTACAAAACAAATTTGTTGTTCATAGTACGAGTACAGAAGTGAAAATTTATCGTCATACTAAATAATTTTCAAAGGTGGTACATATTAAAAATAGTAAGACGAGATATAACACAAAATAAGTAAACATTGAATAACAAAAATGCTTTACAAATTGTGTCAACAGGTCAAATTAACACGAAAGTACGATTTGAGAGTACTCTCAGTTACTGAAAGCTAGTTAAAAGCCAAAACCAATTAATAATAAAAAATCATGCATCAGAGACTAAAATCAATTAAAACACATCCCAGGCAGGGATTTAGTGTTTTAACGCCATGGACAGTCAATTTTGAAAGAAGACATAACTAGTGCAATGCCAAAATAAAAGTAACGACAGGTAGTAGGATAGTTTTGATCTAACCTTTTAATAAATATGTATGATGTTATATATAGATAAAACAATTTCTAAAAAGAAAATAAACGTGGATGTGTATATATACATCCCAAAAAAAACATTAAAAAAAAATACAAATTTAGTTATGTTTTAATTTGTTGATGACAAAATCGATGTTAGTGCAAATGAAAACAATATTCAAAGATCTTATTACCACATTAATACGATAACCTTTACTAACAAGTTTGTTTAAAGGTTCGATAAGTTTACACGGATCACATAGTGGTTTCCGCGCTTTTAGTACAATATTACCGTAAAATTTAAGATGTGAAATATCGTTTTTAATAAGTTTTCTACAGGTACAGGCAAATTTTACAAATCAAATCTTTGTATCTATAAAAGAATTTAGTAAATGTTTTAAGTAATTTATGGTAACGAAATCCCTGACTTAATAATTTACCAGTGATACATTGATCACGTTCGTTAAAATCTATGACATCACTACACACACGGGCATAACGAACGAGTTGGGATATATAAACACCGTATGATGGAGCCAAAAGAACATCGCCGTCTAAAAAAGGAAAAATAACAATAGGGAATGAAAAATCGTCTCTTTTGTCGTAAATTTTTGTATGGAGTTTCCCTTTATAAATTGAAATGTCTAAATCTAGGAAAGGACAACTACTGCTGTTTATGTGAGATTTATTTAAAGTAAGTGCTTTTGGGTAAATTTCGGTAGTATATTTAGAACTCTGGATTATTTAATGAAAAATATCATCAAGATAACGGTAGGTATTGTTGAATGTGTCAACCAAATGTAACAATGAAGTGTCTTTACTGATTTTGGCCATAAACTTTAATATAGGAATAAATCTGCTACTTAAAGGGGCGCATTTAGTTTCCATAGGAATACCTACTACATGTCGATACAGTTTTTCGCCGAAACGTACATATATGTTGTCCAGGAGAAAATTTAAAGCTTCAATCATATCTTCAAATTTCCAGTAAGTGTATGCAACATACTTTCCTTTTTCGTTACAGAAAAGGCTTTAAACGAGTTACAGCAAATAAATTTGCAATGAGATTTTTCAAAAGACCATTTAATTAAATATGAAAACTTTTTCTTGATAAGATTGTGTGGAAGTGTAGTGTAGAAAGTAGAAAAATCATAACTGTCAATAGAATTAAAAGGACCATCAAAAGCACGTATTTTATCTTAAACCTCTAAAGAATTTTTAACACTACAAAAATAATTAATACAATTATTTTCATATACTTTATTACAAAAGTTCTTTGATAGTAGTAAGGGAGGTAGTTAGAAGCACTGACAGATTAGTAGTAGAACACTTACTAAATGCGGAGTTGAAACGAAATTTAAATGGTTGTTTGTGTAATTTAGGTAACCAGTACATAGTCGGGACTTTCAAATGTTCGGAAGAGGCTTTAAGCTGGGTAGTGGCAGTTTGTTTACAATTTGACTCTCTGTGGAGCGTACGGACCTGAATATAGAAGAATTGATAATTTCGTTTTGGAGAACTTCCGTGTAGTATATGCGTCACACCACCACTACATTATTGGCTGCGTTGTCTGCCGGTATGAACACAAACCGCTCTGCGAGTACTTGGAGTTTATTTTTTATTCTAGAAATGGGTATATCATGAACCCTATTATTAATTTCAGAATTGTTTTCAAAATGAGATATACGAATATCAACAGTATTCATAATTTTATTCAAATAACTGTCTAGAGATTTTTTTATCAGACTTTTCACATTTACGCCAATTTTTACAGAAGGCAGTCCTAGGCCAAATACCACAATTAGTTCCTCTATTAGTTCTTTATAACTTTTTGTCTCATTAAAAAAATTGCACCATGCATTTTTGTCAAATCTTTTGTGTGTGTAATGTATAGTACTAGTCCAAAAATATATCAAAAACTCAGAAAAAAAAGAAACCAATCACTCTTACAAATTTAGCCAATACACATCCATACCCCTATTGACAAGTCAAGAGATGTTCCGAAAACTGTAAATATTACCTTTTTGCACTTGGCCTAATCACTCTTTCCATATCAAAATCAGTTTAAATACAACATCCAAAAACATATTTCACCTCTCTTCTTTCATTTCCACCCCATAAAAACTAAGAAATCAATGAGAAAGGCAAAGAAAAAATTAAGAAAAAATACACTTTAGTTATTGGGAACTATATTCGTGAACATTAATTGTGGTCTTGGGCCAGACAGAGCGTCTTTAATGACCTGACGACACTGTTTCCAATCTACAATAGATGGAGGACGATATTTAGGTCCTTTATTAAGAAAAGTTTTGACCTAACGGTCTTCAACGATGTTGAGATCTCCTCTAATGACATGACCATAGGGGACATATCTAAAACTAGATGTTTCACAGTCTCAAGAGGAAGGAGCATTATTTTCTATATTGACGTCTGATGTTACTGACATATAATTAAAATTCAAACTTCTGCTGGGTTTTTTGTACGAATACGAAATAATAGGTGGTTCTGTATTATCAAAATATGGAGGTATTTTGCTATGGATGGTAAAGTCATTGAATACACTAGATAAGTAATTAAAATCAATACCTCTATTTATATATTTTAATTTAAAAAAATGCCGTTTATGATTTTCAGGTTTATCGATACTAGGAAACAGCCTGTGATGACAAAAGGCTGTAATAATACGGATGTATTCATACAACGGGCTGAAAAATTAAATTTTATCACACTCCAGAAAAATATCATATAGTTTACTTATTGGTATATGACCAAGTTTGCATAGTAATTGATGTCTACCATTATTTTGTATTATAGATAATAGATCAGCAAGTGTATAATTTATACGATGTTTAATACGTAGATACGTTTACCATGAGAATGCACGTTTTTATTTTGCTAATTAACCATCTATGACTACACTCAGTTTTAGCCATTTAGAAATATTCTAGTGGTTTTTTTTAATAGATTGATGTTATTTATTGTCCTCCATTTATATAGAATAAATCCTACTTGATTTTCAAATATCCATGTATTTCATAAATATACCGTATTTTCATAATTTATATATATATAAAAAATTAAAACAACACGTTATAAATTTCATGCGTCCGAAGCGCTTTTCTGGATTTACCTTCATCAGGAACGCTCAAAGCCGAATATTTAAAAGCCAAGGATGTATAAGGACCGAAAACGTTTAATCAAATATAACCTTAAAAATTGCCAAATCCATCTAAGGCCAACTTTGCCTGAGGGAGTTGAAACCTTAGTTACTGTTTATTTTCAAAATTTATAAACGGGCAATTTTAGATAGTTTGTTATATATCATGTCAGTACCGAAGTACTGACTACTGAGCTGATGATACCCCCAGGGACTGATAGTCCACCAGCAGAGGTATCGACTCAGTGCTGTAAAAAAAATTAAAACAGCACGTTATAAATTTCATGCGTCCGAAGCGCTCTTCTGGATTATATAACTGTTTCAATATATACAAAAGTACTAGTACGCATCAAAAGATCTCAGTGTCTTATATATACTGGTATAAAATCTTGATACCTTGTTGAACTTGCAGTGAATTATGTGAGCATTTGATCTGCGTTGATGACTCAGTGTGAATTTGAGACGCAGAACAGCAACGGAACAGTTGCTCTTTTGTTTTTGTTTATGAAGTACATATAGGGATTTTGTTCTGCATTAAAACACAACATACCTTTTTTCTCATTACTTTATATACATATATATATATATATATACTTGTATATATATATATATATATATATATATGTACAAGTCTAAATTGAAAACAGCGTTCAAACCTATGATTGCGTTGGATAAAAACCGCAATTTTTAGAGGGGTCTAAATACAGCACAAACAACATTTTCCAAAAGACCAAAAAAGTGAAAAAGTATATTATATATATATTATTACAAAATATATTATTTCATATATATTATGAGATTGAGAGAAGATACCATGGGGACACCTAAAATCCACAAGTAGAAGAACAATACACAACACCATGACAAAAATAAAACAACACTCCACTAAACAACAACAACAGCAACACGAACTCCACCAAAATCCGGGGGTTAACTCAGGGGCTCTAAAAGGATAAGCAGTCCAAGACTTGTATCAACCCACTTTTTGTAAGTTACTGTCATATACCATCCACAAATTTATTTAAGACGACTGTTTCTTCTAGTTCTATTTGGATATCATAGTCATGTATTGTTTTGGTTTTCCTAACTTCTAGTACCTACCGACTGCTAATCGAGAAGACCGTTTAGAATTCTTCACATGACATTATTAAAATGTAAATTAAATCGACAATTTCAAGCTAGGTTTGTTTAGCACATAGTAAGTGTTTGGAGTATGGAGTCATTAAGTGCAATTATCACAATGATTGATCTCTTTGCACTGACATATAGATAGCTTGAAGCAATAATTTCTAGAAGTCTGGCTGCATTGTAGGAGAATTTGCTGCAATTTACAAAAGTACACATTCAGCTGATCATTGTAATATGTTCGTTCGTCGTGTATTAAATCAGTCAAGGTTTATTCTAATATCTATTCACACTTAATGAAATCAAGTCTTTACATTGAATCATTAAAACTTGAAGACTAAAATGTGATTACACATCTGTTTATCTGCAATAAAAGTCCCCTCCCTTTTACTCATGTGTGATATATACTGTAAAACAACAACCATTTAAATGATGATCCGGATTATATTGTAATTTATCAACATCTTCATCAGGTCCCGGGGTAAAGTCTGTCATTTGTCAGTGAATCAAAGAGCCCCGGGCATTTGTTACTCACGGCTGAACAAGGACCATTCACCTTGCATTTCTATGTAACAACATCAAAGGGAATAAGAATAGAGGAAGACAAGCGATATAGACATCAAAGACATAATGTCACACTATGAAATACACTAAAATAAAAATTATCAGATTAAAAAGGCAGGTTTAACCTTTTATTAAGACGACGAAGAAAAAGAAGAGACTGGGGTTGTAAAAACAAAAACAATGAATGTGACGGTAGACATTGTTAAAATTTACAATATGAATCAAGTGAAAGGGCCCATTTACAAATATTTACTAGTATTACGTAATATAGTTAAAGATTGTGCACTACAAAAATAAAATAAGAAATACGCGTCACTGATACGATATACACACGCAACAACAGATGTAAATTAAAACAGACATCGTTTAAAATGTCACAATATGGCCTTTCTCGACGGACAAATTCCCTACCAACTAGTAAACTCAAAAAACCCATGTCTTAACAATCGGCTTGTTCAACGAAAACGAATAAAGAATCAACAACAATAACCTCATATCGTGTTCTGCGGCATCTACAGACTAAATCCTGTGTGAACCCATTCTTATTCGTAGAGAGTTGTTCTAGGACTTTTCGAAACACACTGGGCAAAACTTGTTAGAAATGGCGGAGTGGTGTTTCGAAAAAAAAAAATGTTTCATTAACTCAATTTCAGTCATTTTACTGATGACAGACCATAGAATGGTCTTATTTTTTGCGGAGTAATGTTTCGGGAAAAAACCCAACGTTTAACTAAACTTCAGCCATTTTATCGTTCACAGGATGGTCTTATTTCCTTTAAAGCTTCGAATATTACAAGGAGTGCTAAAATCATATTAGGAAAAATTATATTCTACAAATATCAAGGAAAGATTAAATATATCTTGGGTAGCATTACCTCTGTTATTTATTCCTATACATTTTAAAACTTATTAGAATTCAATAAATTATTTCTGATCATTACGTGAAATTGAAAGCAAATGAAATATTTCTGTTTCAGCAAGCTTCAAATAAGATTTGTAAACCCAATCAACGGTTCCATCCATCTTCCGTAAAACTCAAACACGGTTTTAATTTGATTGAAAATGTTTGCCCGAGACAATTTAATCCAGTTCTTTTTGTTATGTAATAATTAATGAAATAAAATATTTGTCAAATTCTCTTTGTTTGTCGTTAAAACTAATTACATGTTGGTCAAAGCGTAATAATTTGTTTTCTTTTTTGGGGTCATTGTTGGTACAAACGGACCTGATCTTTTTGGGTATAGACATACATTGAATTTAATGTAGCTGTATATCTAGTATTATTATAATAGTTCACGTCGAAATGCAAGAGTTTGATTGGTTAATACGGGGGAGTTAATTTACTTTATTATACTTCACGTTAAAATGCCGTATTTTGATTGGCTAATACGAGGGTGTTAATTTACTCTATCACATGGCTGAGCGGGTGACAATTTTTTTGAATGTCACCCTCTCGTCCAGACCAATCAAACATCAATAATTTAAAGGACAATGAATTGAATTTACATCAAGTAATTAAATACAATGCTTAAATTCTACGTTTTGGCTCAGATTTAATTATTTGACTGTCAAAATAAAAAAAATAAAACATCTTGCCTCACTTTTGTTGTTTTTTCTAATACCCGTAACGTTGTTATGTACGTGACGTCATAGAAAATACTTTTAAAATAAAATTAAGCTGTAAAAGACAATAATGATAGGACATTCAGTATAATAAATTAAATAACACATAGCTGAGAGGGTGATAGAGCAGATTGGTACCCCTCGAAAAAGCATTGTCAACCTTGCCTTCGCCGCAGTTGACTATGTTTTCTCGGGGTAACAATCTGCTCTATCACCCTCTCAGCTATGTGTTATTTATATACTCTACCATGGCAAATACTCTATAACCATTCACGGAGACGCTTGATCAAGTGTGCGCTTTATTAAACACGGATGGTTGTTATGTACAAGACGTCATAGTTTATTACTTTGAATTTGAAATTTAATAGACAGTAATAACAGAACATTCAGTATGATGTTACCCCTCAAAAAGACATTGTCAACCTTTGCTTCACCTCCGCTTAACCTTGGCTTTGTCAAAGAAAATCATATTATGGGCAACATGTCGTCTTGGAAAAGTTTAAAAGTTAAACACCATCCATCTCTGGTTGTAGAACAATAAAAAGGCAGTTTTTTCATGCCAATTATGTATTGAAAGAAATACAATTTAGGGATAGTTTTTTTTCTTAAAATATATGTGTTTGCCAATAGTAATACCTGCTGTATACGGGCAAATGAAATCAGGTTAAATTATCTCCATGTATTGTATTAAGTTAACATTAATCACCAATTACATCATTGTGACGATTTGACTTCTGGATTAATGAATCAGATACTAATATGATTAAAAAGAGATGTGTCGTTTACGTCAATGAGACAGTGCAATAACAACATAATAAAACACATAAGACATATATAGAGGTCAACATACGGCCTTTAACAATAGACAAGAACTTTAGATCTAGTTTAAATCGGCCTCGAGTCTAGACTGATAAGCTGTGACTGACTTAATAGAGAATACCAAAGAAAAACAGTCAATAACAGAATATTTAACGGACGAGAGAACTAAGACATAAACGAAGACAACCACGTACAATTTCTCAACTTGTATACTCAGTATGTTTGTGCACTTTTAAGACAGTCGATGTACAATATTTTGCAAACGGAAAAAAAACAACATTCGCAGATGCATCGGAATTTTTGTTTACTTTAAAAAAAAATGTGAAATCAAAAGCATCACATCTGTAAAAACTTTTGTCGCTAATCGTCTTCTTTCAACGTTTGGTGCTATTTGTAACCGTCTTCTTTCAACGATTGGTGCTAAACCGTCTGTTTTCTTTCAACGTTTGGTGCAAAACCGTCTTCTTTCGTCGACCGTTAGGTAGTATGTCGATTATTATACAGATCTTTACTAGAGCGGCACTTTTTTTTAATCTTCGAACTGTACGGCATATTTTATTCCAACATTTGTTTACAAGAAATAGAGATAAAAAAATGTGTTTTCAACAAGAATCGATACATTTTTACTCTTTCCGAACATCGACTATTATACAGATCTTTACTATAGCGGCACTTTTTTTTGAATCTTCG